GTGTGTGTGTGTGTGTGTGATCTGCGTGATCCGTGTTCTGGCGCGCAGCCGTGTTTGACGAGGTGGATATATACTCGAAAAAAAAAAGGGAAAACAGACGCCGCGTATTATTACCGTCGAATCAGGTTTCATTCAGCCAGATTCCACTCGAACTGGAAACTCGTTCCCTGGCAAATCCTCCCGGACCCGGATGTTTCTAAGGTTTCAGCGCGAAGACCGGCGCGCCGGAGTTTTTGTCATTCGGCTGCGAAACGAGCGTCTCCCCTTTTTCCCTGCCGACTCGTTCGAATCAACTTTCGGATTACGTTTCCTTTTCCCTCCCCCCTCCTCTTTCTTTTTTGTTTCCACTTGTCCGTTCGAACATTTCGATCTGACGTTACGCGATTATCGAAGACCCGGCGGCGAGACGTCCCAGACGGGGCAGAGGAGGGCAGAATTAGCCCTCCGGAGAAAAAGAGGGTCGCGACGGGGATCGTTCGAAAGGCCGAAGAAGAGAAAATGAGAGGGGAGAAGATAGCGGTGGGATTGTTGGGGGGGAGGGCAGGGGATGGGATGGCGAGAATAAAGCAGGGGTGGTGATCGATTGCGTCGGTACATGCACAATAATAGGGGGATGGAGTCATGTATCCGGGCTAAACAGCCCATTTGCCTCACACAATGGGAGCGACGTTGCTGTGGGCTCGACTTAATTATCAGAGGCTGCCTCTGGCAGAGAGACCAGCCAAAGGTAAAGAGAGGCGAGAGGACACCTTATCGGCGAAGCGGTCTGCATCTAACCTCCATTTAGCAGACTTGCACGACCAGCGCAAAATTTCACCGCCGAGAAATCGGTCGCCCTCTCTCCACAACTGTTAAATCGATTCGTTCTCGCGGGGCTTGAGTAAAATGACTTCATTTCAACGTTTTATTACACGCCACGTAATTATTGATCGTTTATCTTCTGCAAAAACATTTCGTGATAAAATAATGCTGACTTCTTCTTTTATCTTGCTGAATTACAACCAATGACATACAAAACAGTGAGAAGTGCTTGAGTAGAGGGTGAAGATTAGATAAATAAAGTAACTCGTCTGAGAAAAACATCGGTGTCAAATGATTAGGCATTTCCGTCGAGATCAACGTAACGGATTCGACGCTACGTATTATTTCTCGTATTGTTTCTCGCGATCAAATAGAAAACGTTGCTTGCCGGCAAATTGCTCGCGAAGTTCGAGCATCCTCGTGGATGTACTTTCGTTACTTATCTCTCGCATAATACGCGCGCTGCATTTCGAAACGGAACGGAGTAAGAGTTTCCCCGGGAAACAAAACAGTTTTCCAATAGTTTCGCTAGTGTGAAAACGAACAGAGTTCGTAGAGCCTAGCCATTAGTCTAGGAGAACAGTGGCTTTCTCTCTCTCTCTCTCTCTCTCACTTGCTTCTTACAGGAGTGTATCACTGTGGGAGAAAGATAGATTGCAAATCTGCGTAGTACTTACCGAAGTTTTCATAAAGTTCACCGCTTCGTAAAGGCCGCTGCATTAAACAGAGAAGTAGAGCTGCAACAGAAAACATAGGTTGCACATTCAATGCGCAATTTAAATAAGAACTCTGCGCAGCAGAGAGGATTTGGATGACGTGAGCTATCAACTAAATAATGGCCATAACAGTGTCAAAGCTCTGGGCTCGTGTGTTCCAATGTCAAATCACTTGAAGCTTTATATGCGATATTATGTTCGCCCCCCCCCCCCACTCTGACGAACTCGTGCAAATTTACATATAACGTTAACGTTTAATGAACACGACGATACGAACGCACGCACGACATTCCCACGATTTCCACGTTAGAGATTAAGAAACCAATATAATTTAACGCCACTAGATTCTCTTTGTCGTGCGGTTACACGTTCATTGCGAAGAGAAATCAAATTTATATCTATTTACATACGAGATTTAATTTTTATAAAAAGAGTATACATTTAATCATAGGTCGATGAGAAACCTATTGATTTAGGGAAACATTTCAGTTTCAAATAATAATAATTACAATTATTGCGTCTTTGAATTCACATGCATTATCGACACGAATAACAACACGGAATTTGTGAACTACTATCGTTTCTATATCATTAGCGTTCTGCTAGCGTCTATGTGACATTCAGACAGTATAATTATCAGCACTGTGGTATATATATATAGTATAGTCGCATGATCTTTCTGTGTACTATCGCTAGGGAGCGTAAAAATAATTCACATTTCCCCTCTATGGTTCCGAGACAAACAATTGTAACTGAGAATTTTGATTACGTATAATGTGCGCAACAACGTACGGATCGGAGCAGAGTGGGAGAAGCGTTTCAAGTATCGCAGCTTATGCGTTAGCTGGATGTGCGCATTACGTTTCCGAGCTACTGTTAGAGTTGACCTGTCATTCCCCGGATAACACGCTTGACAATATCATTTCTGTGCTGTGTTGAAAAATGTCGCCTGTATTTCTCGCGCTTCTGGCGGGCGCGTTCTCTCTACTTTGCTTCTATCTGTATCTGAAGAACAACTATTGGAAGAGAAACGGGATTCCAACTGTCAAAGGATGTCTGCCAGTTTTGGGCCACATGTTGCCGATGCTAACGAAACGAATGAATTTCTCCGAATTCGTTCGTCTGGCTTACGAGGAGCACAAGGATAGCAGCATGGTCGGGATCTACAAAGGAACGAAGCCAGTTTTAATCGTTCGGGATCCGAATCTGGTGAAAAACGTGCTGCAAAGTAATTTCTCCAACTTCCACGAGAACGGGCTCAAAATTATACCAGAGCTGGATCCCCTTCTATCTAAAAATCCGTTCTTCTGTTACGGAGAACCATGGTCGATCGGCAGGAAACGCCTGACCTACGCGTTTTCCAACGTCAGATTGAAGATCCTCTTCGCAGCTGTCAGCGGAGTGTGCAAAAAGTTCGAGGACTTCCTGGACAGGCAACTGAAAACGTGCAACAAGTACGAAGTCGACCTGAAATCATTATTCTTGAGGTTCACCGGCGAGGTTGTGGCGAACGCTGGTTTAGGCATCGAGGGATACTGCTTCGAAGATGCCGCTGGCGCCAATTCCTTTTATAAACTTACCGGTAACACGTTCACGGAATCGTTGGTAACCATAATCATCCTCCATTTCTCGAGTATCAATCGTCTGCTGAAGTTCAATTTCCTGCCTAAATCAATGGACGAATTTTTCCGGAAGGTCGTCAGCGAAAATTTGAAAGTCAGACGAAACGACTCGACAACTAGGAACGATTTCCTTCAATTGATGATCGACATGGAGAAGACCGGCGAGGTGATCGACGAAGAGAGTGTATCGGCACATGCAGTTTCCTTCTATATTGACGGAACCGAGACGTCCAGCGTTACGCTGAATATGATTGGTCACAACTTGGCCGCTCATCCAGAGGTTCAAGAGAAACTGAGAAAGGAGGTGAAGTCGACGATCGAGAAGCACGGCGGTTTGACGTTCGAGGCACTGAAGGACATGACGTATATGAATCAAGTGATTAACGAGTCTCAAAGACTTCACTCGGGTCTCGGTTTCTTGCACAAAATGTGCACCAATGAATTCGAGCTGCAAGGGTCGGACGGGCTGACTTATCGCATAAAACCTGGCACCGAACTGATCATATCCGTTATGGGTCTACACACCGATCCAAAGTACTGGGACAATCCGGATGTTTACGATCCGGAACGGTTCAACGACGAGAGGAAACAAACTATAGAAAAAATGACGTTCCTTCCGTTCGGCGAGGGGCCGAGAATCTGCGTTGGAATGAGAATGGCACTGTTGCAGATGAAGGCTTGTTTGGCTACTTTGCTCAGCAACTATAAATTGGAATTGTCACCGAGAACGCAGGTCCCGCTGAAGATGTCGCCGCATTATTTCCTGTCGGAGCCGATTGGCGGAAACTGGGCGTATATCTCTAAGCTTTGAAAAAAAATTTACTCGTATCAACATTTACGATCTTGTTTGTTTCACACAATTTCACGACCGAGTCCGATAATTCTTAGCTAGCTATCTTCGAAACAAACACGTGTGACATCGTTATTTTCGTTCACCAGATAGTAAATTATTATTTTTGATTTGTAATTATGTAATGTGTACGACTAGCGGCGACAACATTGATAACGATATAAGCTGAGTAAGTTTCGAGCATCATATGTGTATATCACTTCAATTAACATTACGCAAGAACAGAGCGCTGTTGAATAAAATAAAATAAGAAATCAGAAACGTATAGCATTTGTGGGAGTGAAGATCTGTACTCCAGTGTCTTAGAACGAAGAGACTCGAACGAGTTTCCTGAGTGGTTTCCCGTGTTACCATCGCTATATACACATAACTGCGACAAATATGCTTACGTATGTGTGTGCCTGCGCACACATTCTATATTTCCTATAGGTAGTGTGCCATGTAACGTATGTGCAAGGAGACAATAAACTGTCACGAGATGAGATAAATAAAGAAATGATTCTTCCTTCTATCGTATAAAGTAGTTCACTGTTTGCCGTGCAATTAGCAAGACGATTAATCTTTGTATATAAAACCATGTTTTCGAAAACTTGTCACAAGTACCTTTGGCTTGAAACTAAATCGTTGTTGAAACTAATTCGACAATATGAACCGTTTCGTATTGTTTCTCTAAATATTCGTTATTCTTCTCTGATCACTGTGACTTCATTTTACGCAGACTGAGTTACGTTCGTGTTTGTCACTTCGCTGCAACAATCCTTCAAAGATAGGATGGAGTGTTATTGATTAAAGTTAAGATACCTTTGATAAAGAAACTACATGACGTGCCATGATGCAATATCTCGGCAGTGGCAAATGTTATCAATATGTCGCAAACACGGATCTCGATTTTTTGATTTGAACGAGCAAACACTTTATTTCATATGTACAGAATGAAATTCCCTCTAAGCGCGTGAATATTGGCCTGATCTGATCGTCACATCAGTTGAACACGTTCCGTGCCACGTGTACCACCGATGGCACACGTTAAACTTTCCATTCAGGTCGCGTGGTACACGATGGGACAATTACTTATGGATTGGTAATGTAATGACCATTCTTCTGTCAAAGCCCGTTCTAATCTTTAGTCAAAACATCAAATGGCCTGAATGAGAAGTCGAGCAAAAAAAAAAAAAAAAAAAAGAAACGGCTCGGAACGTGTTAAAAAGAAATAGAATAAACGATCGATGTTCACGTTGCAATCTCAACGGTGCGCTACATACATCTCCGGAACAACTCCTTTTGACGCTTCCCAGGCGAGGCACGATACATCTCGCTTCGATTCCCGATCGGTACCACCAGTTCTCATTTCTTACACCTCTTGTCAGTTTCTTCTTCTTCTTCCTTCTCCTGCTGCTCCTCTTTTTCCATCTTATCCCTGTTCACGACCGATCGGTTCCTTCGATTTGCTCGCCGAGAAACAAGAAAGTGGAAGGAACACGTGCGCGGATGGAAAGCGAAAATGTGCGGCGTCGTTCCACACGATGGGGATGGAGGAGGAATAGGACGGGAATAGGGCGCCACGGGTGAGAAAGGAGAAAGGGACGAGAAAAAGAGTCCTTCACGTCGCAGTGCATCTTTCTCTGATTTCCCGCGGGAGAAGTCGCCTCGGCAGCTCTCTGCCGCCGTATCGAAGCGAAGGAGACAGAGAAAGGTAGACGGATACAGAGCCGCAACGCGTGTCCTCGCGCGGCATGATTTATTTTATTGCTTTCCGAGAAGGTAGCATAATTCCACCCCTCCCCGCACCCAGTCTCTACTGGCGGTTATTTACCCCCTTCGTATCTACGTATGGAAGGACAAGCGAAATGGATCGGGGGACCCCGAGGGCGAGGGATCAACAGGTACAGGACAACCATCGCGTCCCTCGAGTGCGTCAAGAAATCGTGGCCGATATCCTTTAATGCGTGCAGATATTGGATATGTGCGAATGCACGGCTCGAAATCTCACCTTGCGACTGTGTTTATCAAAGGGGAACACAGAGTATATTGCAACACGGGTAGTTAGTTGGAGGCGAGGGCAACTGGAAATAGGAGGGGCAAGGCAGAAGTTGGGCTTAATTTAATTAAAACGGACAGTAGTAACAGCGATGCAGTAAATTGAAAATTACGGAGCGAACTAATCCTCTTAAACGGAATATTATACCAGCGGAATGGTACAGGGGAACTCGACAAATTCGATTGTTTTTGACTAAAGCCAACAACGGGCGATAAATCAATATCTTTCGATGAACGTTCGATACTTCAGCAGCATTCACGTCTAAATCCTATCATCCGGCATCCTCTTATGCAACCTCACAGTGCCCACTTTCCACCCGGTTTAATTTACCGCCGTTCTACGCCAACTATTCGCTCGCGAATCCGACAGGTTAATTACTCGCAGGTTTCTTTTTTTTTTTTTTTTTTTTATGTGAAAGTATCCCAACAACGAGCGAGCTGAAAAACATAAACGAAACCGCCGTTATTTTTCCTCGCGCAACGTTTCCATAAACACCGTAAGTAAAGGAACAACAATCTATGTTTTCCAATTGGCGTACGCCTATGAAAGATAAATTTTTTTCAAACGATCTCTCTCTCTATCTCTCTCTCTTTCTCGGATGCTTTTGCTCTTTCTTGTTCTCAGCGTTGTATTTCTTTTCTTTATTCCTGCTCGGCGATATTAGCATCCCCGTTGAAAGGATACCGGAAGAATGTCAACCGAGAACGTAATATACTTGCTTGCCGCCTTTTCCGAATGCACGTCGCCGAGGGTGGGAACGGAGAAAAGGGATAGCGACAGGGTCGTACCAGGAAATTTCACGGAGTGGCGCAATAACGTTTCTTATGCCACGTTTCCGGAGTGGCGTGCTGTTAGGGTGTGAGGGGGTGGCTTGCAAATACTTACCGCGCGAGAGAGGACGAATGAGAGTGGAACAGAGAGGGTGAAAACAGTAGGGAAAAGGGAGGAGAGATGCAGTCACTCTCTGGCATGCAATTAGGAGCTAGGCAAAGGATCCCTCTCTTTTCACTGCTTCTTCTAGAATCCTCTCTCTCTGTCTCTCTCTCTCTCTCCCTCCCTTCCTTCCTTCTCTATCTCTTTGTCTTTCTTTATCTTCTCTACCTTCTGCCGTTCGTTCGATTATATACACAATGTGTGTATATATGTACACAGATTTTCTCTCGCTCGCGCACATTCCTATAATCCACGTCAGCAACTCTCGACACACACAAACGTAACACGCAGCAGCAGCAGCGCGCGGATAACGACTATCAGGAAATATCAGGCAGCCGTGGCTTGAAAATTGGAAGCACCCTTCCTCTTGCGCGGAAATCGGAAAACTGTGATTCTGAATATAACGGGAGGGGGGAGCGAAGGTTATTAAATACGTATTACGCTAACTCGATAAAGGATTTATCCGAGGGATGAAAGCTTTTCACCGCCGGTGGACTATACCAAAGCTTTCACCTGTAATGTGGCCATTGGCAATACGTGTAACGCAAACCGGGAAATTTCATTTTCACCTTCTCTGCCTTCAGCGATCTATGATCCGGCGAATTTTTTTCGAGATTGCGTCAGCGCGAGTGAAACAGAAACGTATCAAAACGGGCAGTGGGCAGTGAAGTAGAGAGTAGACCAGTGAACGAA